CGACTCATAACAGTAGCAAAATTACAGTTATGAAGTAGCAACAAAAATAATACTATGGGTGGGGGTCCCCACAACATGAGGAACCGTATGAAAGAGTCGTGGCATTAGGAAGGTTGAGGACCACTGCTCTATAACAGTGTCAACAAGTCACCGTAGGGACCCAGGGAAGGGAAGGGAGAGCTCTGTCTTCCGAGCACACCAGTGGTTTCCTAGCTGGAGAAGACTGGTCACAGACATGACAGCCGTTTCATTAGGATTCCGGCTTGTCCTTCATACTTTCTAAAAGAGTAGTAATGTACTCCCTTGTTCTCTCCGCCACTAGCTTGGGTGGTGTGTTATCCATATGAATGTTTTAATGTATCTTGTTTTTTATTTTTTGTTTGGTTTTGGTTTTGTTGATTGTACAGCACTGTCACAACTATTGGAATAGACTGATTACATTAAATGGTCTAGAAGTGCATATGCCCTACTTTTAAAATGTTCTCATTTTTCCAGTAATTTGTTTCAGAAAATAATTTATGAGCCTGGATCTAAAATGGATTGTCAGATCTGAAACCTGACTATACTTTCTTTGCTCTAGCACTCTAAAACTTGGCTTGGGACGTTCTCTCTCTCCGTCTTCCCCTCAACCTCCTCTTCAGCCAGTTCCGGTTGAGCTCTTGCTCCACTCGCTCACCACTGAGGCATCAGAACAGAACAGACCACTGGTCTCCCTTCTCTGCTGGGGCAGAAAAGAGATCAAACGAGGGGCTCTGCTTTGTTCACCTCATTCTGCAGCATTGTTATTGTAGTCTTCCAAGTTTCCAGATCTGAAACATGGTAAGCAAACTTCCCCAGCCCTGACTTAACACTCAGCTGCCTTGTGATTGCAGAAAAATAACTGTATATTGCCAGAGGATATGAAGAATTTTTACCTGGTGACCAATGGCTTCCACATGACGTGGAGTGTGAGGCTGGATGGTGAGTCTGCCTCCCTGCTGAGGGAAGTGTTTTCCTGGCTGGGAGGTTGCATGAGATGACTCTGAGGGCCTTTCCCACGTCTGAGCCTGTGAATCTGGATGGTTTCCATGGGTGTTCCTGAAGCGCAGTGTTCCAGCTGGGATCATCTCCCAGAGCGAACAGATACCACCAGGATTTCACTCAACCCCTGCTTCTCACCTCATGTCAGAGTCTAACTAGTACTTCCCTGAAAGCACTGTTTACAGGTTTTCTATTGGGCGAGGGTGGAAGAAAGCAGTAATCATTAACCTCCATCAAGCTTACCTTTTCCGAGGTGTCTGCTTCATGGTGGGTGTAGGAACTTACATCATACATGTCAGAGATTGCAGATACTATGTAGACATGAAAGGCATCCTTGCGCATTTATGTAAGGTGTCTGTCAAATTTCATAAGCCAGGAAACCCTTCTATAGCCGCTGGATAAAAGCCCGTGCCTGGCACAAATCTCTCAGCCCTCCAGAGACCTTTATTGTCTCTGGATTCCAACCATGTCCCTAGATCTAGTTTGATCTTTGGGGAGCAACTTGTACCTCCCACTGCTGGGGCGAGGAGGGCAGTGACTTCCACTGACCAGACATCTACAGAACAGGAGGCACAGGCCAAGTGGGGAGCACTCTGTTCTGTAGATGTAGATAAAATCATTTTATTGGGGGCCCTTACAGCCCTTATCACAATCCATACATATATCCATTGTGTCAAGCACATTTGTACATATATTGCCATCATTTTCAAAACATTTTCTCTCAATTTGAGCCTTTGGTATCGGCTCATTTTTTATCTCCCTCCCCCATCCACCCTCATGAGTCCTTGATAATTAATTTTTTTTTCATGTCTTACACTGATCGCTATCTCCTTTCACCCACTTTTCTGTTCTTCGACCCCTGGGAGGGGGTTGTATGTTGATCATTGCAATCAGTTCCCCCTTACTCCTCCCACCTTACCCTTACCCTCCTGGTATCACTACTCTCATTATTGGTCCCGAGGGGTTTATCTGTCCTGGATTCCCTGTGTTGCGAGCTCTTATCTGTACCAGTGTACATCCTCTGGTCTAGCCGGATTTGTAAGGTAGAATCAGGGTCATGATAGTAGGTGTGGGGGTGAGCATTAAAGAAGTAGAGGAAACATGTGTTTCGTCGGTGCTATACTGCACCCTGACTGCCTCGTCTCTTCCTTGTGACCCTTCTGAAGGGGGATGTCCAATTGACTACAGATGGGCTTTGGGTCTCCCTCTACCTTCCGCCTCATTCACATCAATATGATTTTTTGTTTGAAGTCTTTGATGACTGATACCTGGTCCCATTGACACCTCATGATCACACAGGCTAGTGTGCTTCTTCCATGTGGGCTTTGTGGCTTTCAGGTAGATGGCCGTTTCTTAAGATGAGGTCTGTTTTTCATTGATTCCCAAGCCTGCCTTTCTCTATCTTACAGCATCAACCAGAAGCACTTTTTATAGCTTAACCAGGAACAGTTAGCCAGCTTGGAGCTTACAGTCATTTCCTCCATAACCCAGAAACTGTCCTTATCATCATCTGTAACGTGGCCTTTGGGTGTGAGCGAGCCGACACAGAGACCACACTGATTGTCAGGTGCTACCTTGCCCACATCCAGGGGAAAGTCTAGCCCTTCCCTAAGCCTGCCTCAGAGGGAAAGTGTTTCATGAAGATTTTGTAAATGAGTCCCTGTTCCTAATAACAGCACTTTCTCTGATGTCATCTTCCCAACCCCAGTGTTCTTAGCCCATTCTTTAGAGAATCACTTAAGTCAGTAACAGAAAAGGCCGTAGAGGCAGCTTCTGATGTTTACCTGTTTAGTGGTCTTTTCTTCTTAGACGTTCTATATGTACCATATAAAAAAATGTGTGTATGTGTGTGTATATATATAAATATATACATGCATATACATATATGTTGAAGGCATTACTGCCTTCGACCACTACTGTTTTTTTCTAAGTGTTGTGTGCCAGCCTACATACATCCTTTGCCCTATATTGCAAGATAAGACGTGCACTCTGCCTCCTTTACACCCTAATCACAGAAGACTAGAACCAAGCAAGAAGGCTGTGCATGGAATAAAGGGAATGACAAGTATTTTGCATTGGGAAATCTTTTAACAGGCACTCAGCTAATCACGGAAAGGTTGGCAGTTAGAACCCACTCAACAGCTTTCTCTATGAGAAAAGTCCTGGGCCTGCTGCTGCTGTAAAGATTGCAGCCCAGAGCACCACACGGGGTTCGGAAGAGTCCACAGTGACTCCGTGGTCCCTAACAACAGCACTGCTCCTGGGGAAAGCATCACTGTGCAGAATGCTGGTGAAGCAAAGGAGAGAGGGCGGGGAAGTAGTTTTAAATCCTTTTCCAAACAAGGTCCCATGCCTAGATTTCCCAGCATTCCACCCTAACAAATGCATTGGGGCTACTCACCAGTGACCCACATGCTTTCCTCCCCTTTTCTTTTCATACTGTAATGCAGGAACTCGCTTATTTTTACCTTTCATCTGATTCCTTATTCCAAAGACGAAACAATTGTGGGGCTTTAGATGACTCAAGTTGAAGCCCTTGTGCCGAGTACTGCAATAGGCTGTTGCTCCTTGTCTCTCATTGTGTTCAATGTCCCCACAGAGAAGGTCATTCCGCTGGGCAGCATGGTAATTAACAGCATCTCCAAACTGACCCAACTCAACCAGTCTTCCATGTATTCACTTCCCGGTGCACCAACCCTTGCAGACCTGGAGGATGACATCGCCGAAGGTACTTAGAGGAACTTCTGCTTGGCGTAGAAGTCATCCTGCTTGCTTCCTGTTTACCACAGGGAGTACAGGAAGGCACAGGGACACTGTAATAACCCACTGCCCGGGAGTCGATTCCGACCCACTGTGACCCCAGGGAATAGCACAGACCTACCCCTGTGGGTTTTTTATGTTGTCGGTCGTTAGAGGCGTAGAAAGCCTTATCTTTCTCCCGCAGAGTGGCTAGTGGATTCCATCTGCTGAGTTTGTGGTTAGCAGCCTCACATGTAACCCTGCAAGACTCCTTGAGACATTGTAGTATATGCCTCTAAACCAAAATCACCCCCTTCCGGTCTTAGGACCCCAAGAGTAAATAAAGACTAGCCTCTATCAACAAAGAATGTTTTTGTGAATTAAAAATGTCAGGATTTGGAACTTGGTCTCTTTTGTTCCCAGTACGCCAATCAGTGCCTGGCATATAACAGGCTTGTCATGAATACTTGGTGTAAGAAGAAATGTTTTCGATCCAGCTTCCCTCGACCTTACTTTATGAAGAGCATTCAGGGAACGTGGCAGTCTAAAGGCAACCATGGGGTAGCCTCTTCTTTCCTGCACATTTGCCACATCTAAGTAAACTGGCTCATAGTCAAGTGGCTGCTAAGACCCATGAGCAAATGAGTAGACGTGAGGAGGACTTCTGTCAGAAGCAGGTTTGAATGCATAAAGCAGAACCCCAGTGAGACGTTTCTAAACGTACTAGGAGAGTTTCTTCTCATAGCAAGGAGTCTAGGGCTAAAGAGATGCTTGAGGACGTCAGTGAGAGTTCCCCCTGGCTTCCCAGTACACAGCCTTTGGTATGGCTTTCATCCCTACGGCTGAGGAATGTGGGCTCTCCCTCCGGACGTCCAGCATATGTTCCCAGCAGGAAAAAAGAATAAACGCCTAAGCACAAAAACAAGTGCCTCTTAGACTACCCTTTTTATAAAGAGAACAATCATTTTCTCAGATACCCCTCCCAGAAAAATTTCTGCTTGCTTCCCCTTGGCAGAAACAGGACAGCGTCATGCGAGTCTGAGGCAGCCAGTATTTTGAAGTGTGTACCAGTGCCTCCACAAACAAAATTAGGGCCTAACTAGTGAGAAAGGGGAGTAAATACTGCTGAGTAGACAACTAGCACTGTCTTCCATACTAAGGCCTTGGGGGTTCATTGAAATCCTGGGAGAGAAGTGATTGGAGGTTTATTTCCCTTCAACTGGACGAGCGATTGGAGAATGGCACCAGAGGGTCCAGCAGTAACGCTCCAAAGTGATGAATCCTGGGAAGAGCCTGTCACTCTGAGATGTAGGGACAGAGGGTCACGTTGGCTTCATATGTTTGTGCTGAAGCTCTCTAACCCCTAAAAGGCACAGGAATTGTTGAGCTGAGTCTTCCTGCCCTTGAGGCTGGACGAGTCAAAATTGACTGGGTAACGAGTCAATCTCAACAGAGGGCGGAGCTAAGGCCAGGCGCCTTCTTGTCCCACAGAGCCAGGGCGGGCGAAAGGCGTGTCTGGCACCCGCTGTATCCAAGCTGTCTAGGATGAACCAACACGCAGGCTCAGGCCTTATTTACAGTTGATATCATTATATCTGTAGGAAATCCAAAGAAATGTGCAAATTGTTAGGATAAATCAAAGATGCCCCATTCTACAGTAAGCAATCTTGAACATAAAATTTAAATGTAAATTAGAAATATAAATATTCATGCATGTATATAGAATATGTATATGTACAGACATATAGCACTTTGGTGGTGTAGTGGGCTACTTGGGGCTGCTAACTATAAGGTTAGCAGTTCAAACCTACCAGCTGCTCCAGGGAAGAAAAAATAAGGCTTTCAACTCCCGTGAAGATTTATAGACCTGGAAACAAACAGGCTGCAGTTCAACTTTGCTTTTCCCTAGAAGGTCTTATGAGTTGTAATCAACTCGATATTAGTTTATTTTTGTTTTTAAATTTATGGTCAGATATAAATAAAAATATTGTAATGAAATTTCTAATCTCTCTTTGGTTTGTAAATCCTCACACGTGACCCTCATACTACTATTACAGAGTAACTTTTTCCATGCGACCTGGTTTCTAAATAGGTATTGCCAACTGAACCAGACTTAGCATTCTATAACATTATGGTGAAATATTAAAAATACACCTATTAGACAGGAAACGTGGATTCTAATCAGAAGACCTTAAACACTATAAGTGAGAGGAAACCAGTTGTCTTGAGAAATAGTTTAAAAAAAATTTTAGCATCAGGCCATTCAGATTACTCCTCCTTTATAAAGTCTCCATGCCAAGCGTTGGGTTGGTTCTCCAAGTGCCACCCTCCCTTAGGTTCCCGGACACTATTAATTGGTGATGGGGGCCCTGATGGGCGGCCTCGCCCACAGGTGAAACCAGGCATGTCAAGGATAGTAATCATTTGGCCAACATTCGAAAGTCCTGTGTAAGAATATGCCTGAGGTACGGCCTTCTCCACTCACCTGTCATTTTCATCTTACCCAAGCTGGACGGATAAGTCCAAATTTCCAGGAGTGTCTTTGGACATTACCACTTCCTTGTATGTTTGCAGCTGGGGAGGACCAGCCAGAGAAGCCTCACTTTGACTCTCGCAGTGTGATATTTGAGCTGGATTCTTGCAATGGAAACGGCAAAGTTTGCCTTGTCTACAAGCATGGGAAACCAGGTGAGACCCATTTACTTACTGGTCGTGTCATTTGAGTGTGGCCTTGGCTGCTCCTTCTCACCAGCCATCACGGTACAGGACACGCTTCTGTGGCCTGAGACGCTGCTAGCATTCCTGCTGGCGCCAAGACCCAGAGGCCTCTTTGATGTTCTCTGAGAACCCGCCTCTAAGCCAAGACAAGAGTCTTTTTAAGCCATTCTCACTTGTGAGTTATTGCCAAACAGTGCACAGGGTCAAGATAATGTGAAGGAAGAACCGAAGACAATGAAAGAGTCATTCTGTTCTAGACTTAGTTGATTCGTGCAGTAGATCAGCATCTGGAAGCCCGTTCTCTCTGTCCTGTGCTCTGTCCCTGGGCTAATTCATAAAAGCTAAGACCCTCAGATAGGAAATCAAGGGGAACGATCTTGCTCACTGGGCAGTGACTGAAGCCTACAGCCTGTGAACCTCCAGAGCCGGGCCTCTTCCAGCAGCTCTGCCTGGGAGGGCTACGAAGACGCCAAGCCAGTGCCGTCAAGTCCACTCTGACCGACAGCCACCCTAAGGGCTGCTCCTGTTGCTTGCCCGCACCGTAACTCTTTCCCGGGGTAGAGAGCCATCTGTTTTCTCAAGGTGCAGGCAGTGGTTTTGAACTGCTGTTGACCTTGTAACTGCGGCCCAACTTATAACCCGCTATGCCACCAGGGCTCCCTGAAGAAGACACGGGCACCAGGTTATAGTCTGTCCATTATGGTCTTCAGAGGAGAAGAGAGCCTTTCAGCTGGAGAAGTTGTCAGCCAAGTAGCCTTCCAGGATGAGTGGGAGTCAGATATGACGTGAGAGGGATTTGATGGGGTGAAGGGAGTGTCCAAGCAAATGGGTGCCATGGGACAGGGCAGTGCTAGCTGTCAGTTGGGTGAGTGCGGAGGAGAGCAAACCAGAAAACCAGTTGCTTGCTTCTGGAAAAGCTTTCCAAAGTGAGGACCCTGGGGAAGAGAGCAGGGCATCGGGAAGGTGGTTTAGCGGAATGACTGGATGCAAGTGAAAATGGATGTGAAGAGGAAGAGAGCTGGAGAGGAGGACACGTGGGCCCAGGCCCTCCCGCTCACCAGCCCAGGGGAGGGGCTGGTCTGGGCTCCTCCGAGGTGGCGTCCCCCAGCCTTGTGACTGGAGCCAGACGGAAGACAGACCTCTCCATGAAAGCCAGGCCATTCGGAGTGTTTCTCTGGCAGGAAAGCGGAGTCAACAGTGTATGTGCTTGAGGGAGAGGTGCTGATAGCCCGAATGTGCTTCCCGATGGACAGAACCCCCAATGAGTCCCTGGAGAGTCTGTGAAAGAGAAACTGGCAGCCGTGGCCACCAGAGAAGGGAGCTGGGAGGTTAGAAGAAAAATGCTGACGTTTACTTTTTATTTCATGCTCTCTACTCTTGGACCTTTTTTTTTCCCCTTAAACTATGAGTCCCCATTGGAGCTTGATGGTACAGCGGTTACCTCAAGGGCAGCCGTTCAAACTGCCAGGAGCACCTGTGAAAGAAGGATGACGCTGTATACTTCTGTAAAGACTTACAGTCTTGGAAACCCCGGGGGGTGGGGGTGCCCTGAGTTGGAATCGACTCAGTGGCCGTGAGTTTCGATTTTGGTGAGGGGACGTGTCCGCCGTCCTCATCCTTTAGTTCCTCTGTCTGCTCTTTCAGCGTCAGCACGTGACGTCGAGATCTGGTTCCTGGACAGAGCGCTGTACTGGCATCATCTCACAGACACCTTCACCGCCTATTACCGCCTGCTCATCACTCACCTGGGCCTGCCCCAGTGGCAGTACGCCTTCACCAGCTATGGCATTAGCCCACAGGCCAAGGTAAGGCAAAGACCCCTGTGATCTCAAACTGGGTTGTGTGTCAGGAATCAGAGGAAAGGCTTCAATTGCAGATTCCCCACTTCACTATCTGGTTCAGAGGGTCTCCGGGGAGCCCAGCACCTGCATTTTCAATAAGCCAGGCACCCGATGCCAACAGAGGCAGACCACCGCATATGATACCCATCGAGTTAAGTGGTTCCCGTGCATGGTTCTCTCAGAACCACCTGGGAGAGCGGATTTGGGGCTGGGGCTTCAGTGAGATTATTTAAGGTGGGCCTCCTGTGCACACAGAAAGGCTGGAGAACCCCTGGGCCCCCTGCTCGCACTGCTGCTGTGCTTCTGTGAAGGCAGCCTTGGCCTCACGGCCTTCCCAGCAGACAGCACGCGTGCATCCACACCGTCAGCCTGCCCCGTGTGCCTAGCGCAGGAATGCCATCGGAGGCTCACCTTGTGCCTTCCTTCTCTTGGAGCTCAGTCCCCATCAGTGCACGTTCCTCCAGCGTACCACCGTGACAACATGCTGCTGGTCACTGGTCGGGGAGGTTGTGGTCAGGGAAAGGTCAGTAGGTGGGCATACCCTTTGCCCTCCACTGCCCAAAGAGCCAGTAAGGAAGAGAAGGCCAACCCTGGCAGCTGGGCTGAGGCTCTGCTCACAGCTTCCCAGGAGAGGAGACAGTCTAACCCACCTGGGAGGGGCCGAGGCTAAGCAGCGGGCAGAACAACGGAAAGGCTGCTGACTCCTAGGGACCGGAGATGCAGCGCCCCAGGCTTAGGGTGTGCTCAGGTTTCTAATTCTCTGAAAGGTCCAGGGCTTCAGAGAGGGTTGTGTGAGGGACAGGGTGCCAGAGTTGATGGCTCTGTCATCACTGAGCCAAAGCCAGTGCGAACAGCTTTGCAAGGCAGTTCTTCATAGACGGGTCTCTCTGAGCTATGGCTCCCCCACCCCTGTCTCTGCTTCTCTGCTTTGACTCCCCTAAAGTCCATCTCTGGACTCCTGACCCTCTCTCCCACTTCTGCCTTACAGCAATGGTTCAGCATGTACAAGCCCATCACCTACAACACAGACCTGCTCGCAGAAGAGACCGACTCCTTCGTGAACAAGCTGGATCCCAGCAAAGTGTTCAGAAGCAAGAACAAGCCCATCATCCCCAAAAAGAAAGGGCTTGTGCTGTCTGCTGGTGCCCAGAAAGGGCTGCCAGCCGCCTCCACCTCCAGGTCCTCCCTGAGCTCTGGAAGCACTGTCCGGAAGTGAGCTCTGGAAGCGCTGTCCAGAAGTAAGCCCTCCACCTCCAGCTCCCTGCCAGCTATGCCAGCCTGGTGAGCTCCGGGCATCTTCCCCCCAGGGTAGCCCACGCCTCTGCTTCTCTGTGTGCGCCACAAGCCTCAGCCTGTCTGAGCGAGGGACCAAGATCCTCAACACTTGACTCCCATGGGTTCCCAGAGCTCTCTGAAATCTCAAGATTCCTCCCCTCATTCCGCTTCCCTCAGACCCCACCTCCGGAAACGTGGATGATGCTGGGATCTGTGGACGCTCTCCCAGTTTCTTCCCCCCTACTTACACCCCCCCACCCCCATTTTCTCTCAGTAGTGAAAGAGAAGAACCCTGAAGGACCTACTGGTTTTGACCTAGAAGTCAAAAGTGGCTGTGAGCATTTATATTAAAAATTTTAATTCTCCATTTGCACTGGCCACATTACTAGTGTGAATTGGCTTGGTCCTCCCATCATGGATAGCACAGAGGCCAGCCACACACAGGCCCGATATTTGATGCAACATCATTCCGAAGCTGCCCACCACATCTCGTGGAATTTCTGCAGACTGCTGCTCAGGTTTTCAAACAGGGATTTGGGAATATAGTTTCTCACTCTGGAGCAGGGGCAGTGGACAGGAGCCAGGTTCCCTTTCTCCTTCCCCGCAGGGAACGCACCCAGCCCCACGATCCATGGTGGCTGCCGTTTTTGTGCAGGAGCCCCGGAGGGAGGAGGAGGCAGGGGCAGAGGCTGTAGCAGTTGTCCATCTCAGCCCTCGCTGGCCGCTCCTGCTTTCCTCCCGGCCTCCAGTGATTGGCTTGGCTTCCTGCCTCCACCACCTCTCCCTGCTCATCCACTCCCTGTCTCCTAACCCAGCCGCAGTGCTGAGAGCAGGCCCGGGGTTCTCCACCTCCACGTCTGCTCTGAAACATCTTGAGTCTTTATAAAAGTTGTTTGCTTTTTTTAATCGCTGTATGTAGTGCTAGACAGTCAGGCTTCCATCCTCCCCCTGACACACACACACACACACTCACTCACTCACTCACTCACTCACTTTCCACAGCCCCAGAGGGAAACAAGGTGGAAAGGTTTACCTTTGGTGAGCCAGGGCTCTGGAATGGGACTGTGCTGTACATTCACATTCACGAACGTTTCTTTGTTTCCCGCTGAGCTGTGGGACAGGCCAAGTGGGCAGGGGCAGACCACGTGGGCTGGCTGCTTTCTCCGTTTTAGACTCTCTCCAAGCCTTGAGGTCCTAATGCCCTCTGCCTTTGCTCCAAACACGGAGTTCATGTTAACAGCTGAGTCATCTGCTGTAGAGTCTGGCGTCTAAGTCAGCCTTGGGAAGTATGTAAAATGGCAGCCCCCCTTAAGTTACATTACATTACACTAACCATTTACAATTCAGCCTGATCCTTTCAGCGGTGTTTGTTTTGTTTTGTTTAACCATGAAAGGACTGTTTTAGATCTTCCCGATACAAAATAATTCATCCGTTCCAATTTAATTGTTTCAGTTCTGACACACTGAGCAATGATTCATTTAGAAATGCTAGGGCTTTGGGCTACCAAACCTGAATGTTTTCCTCCAAATGGGTCATTTCTATATTCCAGAGGGCGGCAGACCTTTCTGCATACTGGAACTACCTGGGAGTCCGGGCCCCACTTCAACCCAATGCAGGTGGATGTCTGGGCCCAGTATCCTTCATTAGCACTCAGGTGGTGCTAATAGGTCGGCAAAGTGGAAAACCACCGAGCCGCATAGAAGGGCTGAGACTGGCAGCACAGCCACATTCAGCTGGAAACCTTAGGTCCGGAAGCAGCAGCGGCAGCACACACCAGGTCAGGGCATGGCAGGATTCTCCTTAGAGCTGGTCTGGGGCGTCATTTTAGGCATTAATTGCCCCTGAGACTGGTTCTTCATCCTTCTCCACGGTTCTCTGAGCCACTCAACCCTTTTTGAAAATAGAAAATTCTTTGTCTTTATTTATGTTTGTTTATCTCAAAAATGCACTTACGTACATATGTTTTTTAAGTACAATAAATACTCATAAATTGGCCACCTGGCTTTAACCATGGTTCAGTACATTGTCCGCCACACTCGATGCTCACTGATACAGGCACAAACACAAATACAGATATACAGCCCGGTGCCCTGGTGGGTTAAGCATCAGTCTGCTCACTGAAATGTCAGTAGTTCAAGCCCACCCACCATTCCACAAGAGAAAGCCGAGGCTTCCTACTGGAAGTTGTACAGATTTACAGCCTCAGAAATAGCACTTATGAAGTGCTGTTCTATCCCACAGAGTCACAATGAGCCCAACTTGTCTGGATGGCAGTGTTTTTTATTACATGTTTATAGTCGAATTACTGGAAATTTCAAGTTTCAGGTTTCATCATTTTTCTTAGTAAATACTTCATCATCTCCCAAGAAGGAAGGATTTCTCTTCATCTCACCATGACAAGATCGTGTCTAAGAAAAGGCCATCCTGGAGTATGTGGCTCATATTTGGATTTCCCGATTGTACCCCCAAAGTATATTTTATACCTGTCCCCCTGCACTCTTTTTGCTCAGACTAGTCAAGATTTATACATTCCATTTGGTTCTATTTCTTTTGATCTGCTATCATCCCCTGCCCAGCTGCCGAATGTGTTTGTTTTCAAGGCAATGGCTGGTTTGAGAAGTCTAGCCCTGTTTCCTTACCGATTGGCCCACACTGTTCACCGCATCCTTCTAATAAACTTTTCTGCCTTGGCCTCCAAGAGTCTGCTTCTGTTACTTGCAACAACATTTTTGATGGGCTCAATGGTTCCTGAATTCATCCTTCATGAACTTCGCCAATACAGCACGTCAGAAACATTGGAGCGGCAAGGGAGGGACCCCTTCCCATGGAACCAACCTGGTCTCCAGGGACAGAGGTCATAGCAGTGTGAGACGTCCTTAAATGCTGCCTTGCTAGAGTTCTCGTCCAGGGCAGGGGGCAGTTGCCACCCCACTTCCATTTTAAGGAAACTGAAATAAACTTTCATATTTTCATAAATATTTTCATATTTTATGAGTCATGTTTTAGCATTAATTATGAATAACTGGCCAGGAATTTACAAGAGGGACTTCAAAAGTTCCTGGCAAAAAAATGGAGTTGACGGCTAACAGAATTATTTCATGAACTTCTGGAAGTCTAGTATATGTGCATGCAAATGTGTCATTTATTGTCTCAACTCCAAGAGAGCCTGTTAATGTATAACAAAATTCCTTTAAGCCACTTTTGTTCCCCTTTAACATGAACATGATATTAAACTTTCTCAGGAGACACATCGCAGAAGCACGAGGCTCGTAGAGTTTCCAGCTGTAAATTAGGGGGTCGGGGGTGAAGCTGAGGACATTCAGTGGCGCTTTCTGTAACCATGAGCCCCAAACACAGCTCTCGGTGACTTTGCAGCCATGGCCTGGTGATAACCTTTCTGCTGCCCTCTTGACCTGAAAGCCAGTTCCTGAAGGCCCCCACCAGCCCCCTGACTCCCACTGCAAGCCTTTGTGTGGCCACCGAGCAGCCCACCCTGTATGCACACTCATTGCCTGCTACCCTGCCACGATGCGAGGAGGCTGACTTGCTTTCCCAGAGACTGCAGGCCCGCTTTGGCCTGAACAAACCAGCAAACTGCTCTACCATCTGGTGAGCTGAGCCACATCACCAACAAGGTCTGAATCTTCCCAAGTTTGCCCTTCACAACGTCCTCTCGGCCCTGTATACCACATAGCTTCCTTTTATTTCATCATAGTTAACAATGCCTTATATGATACTTTCTTAGTTTAGCCTGCTGTGTGGTTTTCATCTCCTGGTTGTACCCAGACTGTTATAATAAATACAGTCATGATGGATTTCTTCTTTTAAGAACTTGGTTCAATGCAAATACAGGAAATTCTTCAACATTTTTTACAAATAACCTTAGATCTTGATTACTCTTTGTAAAGTCTCCGTTGCTCTTTTGAACGCTATAGCGGCTGTGGATAAAACAAAGAACTTGGAGTTCGTTTGTAACCATTCGTTCAATGACTACCTCATACAGCTGGGAGAGTTGTATAAATAGCTGCTATAACCGTTATCTGTATTTGTTTCCCACAGCTGCTCTAACAAATGGCCACAAGCGTAGTGACTTAAAACAATACCGTCTGCTCTCTTACATGGCTGTGGGTCAGAAATTCAGAATCCCTTGAGTGGGCTGAAACTGAAGTGTTGGTAGAGCCACGCCCTTCTTGGGACTCTAGGGGAGACTCCATTGCCTAGTTTTCTCCGATTCTAGAGCATAAATCCGTGCATTCCTTGGTACTTGGCCTCTCTGTATCTTCAAAGCCATTATTGTGGCATCTTCAAATCACTTGGCTTCTATCACCACATTGCCTTCTGTAGTCAGGTTTCCCTTACCTAACTTCATATAAGGACACTTTTGATTGCATTTAGAGCCAGTCAGAGAATCCAAGATAATCTCCCTAGCTCAAGATTCTTAGCTTAATGATGTCTGCAAAGTCTCTCTTACCATATAAAGTGTTTCAGGGATTCGGATCTGAGTATCTTGCAGTCACTGTTAAGCTGACCACATATCCCTTCAAATCCACCAGTATATGCTGGAATAGATCCATGTACCAATTTCTCCAAGAGCATCAGGGGAATCAGAGTGACAGGAAAGAATAACTCGGGACCAAGTTGCTAAAACAATCATTGGGGTTCAGTTTTCCAGAGCAGATTAAAGGGAGAACCAACAACCCCCGATAAGAGATTCAGGATTTGAATGCTCCCTAAGATGAGTCAGTCAGAGAGGATTTGGAAGTCAGATCATTGAGACTTCTGGCAAGATGGCTGACCATGTAAGATGAGCAACATAGACAGACCCTCTACAATAAAGACCCAAGACAAGTGAAGCGCACAGAAGAAGCGCTTCCTCTGAGCTTCAGAGGAAAGGATAAAGAAGTGGATGGAACACTGACTAGGAGAAGTAACTGAACAAAAATGGCCAGAAAGGAGATAGACAGGTGAGTTGTCCAGCCAGATGAGCAGGGCCATCTTGAACATTTGCAAGCAACATTCCATCTGGACCAGTGTTTCCCAAAGTGGACAATACTACTTCGTAGGGACCCTGGAACAATCTACGGGGGCTGCAAAGGTAGAGACGACCTACACTTTTTCCTGGACTATGGGCTATATATAGCACGAAGGTTTTTAATTGCCAGTGAGATGCTGAGGACTGTAATTTTGCTGTCTGAAAGGGGTCAGTATTGCCAAATAAGTTTGGGAACCTATGCTAATGAGCAGTGGCCTGGCACAGCAAAGGTGGGATCCTTCATTGCTTTCCACACTGTTATCCTTGTAGCCAGAAGAATTGTCAGCCCCCACCCTCGTCTAACTAGCAGCCCATGACACCCTCCTGCCCTGCCCTTCCTAAGATCGGGTCTTGCCCTTGTGGATCAGGTGCTGGGAGCAATCCCCCCACATCTGGAGGTGTGTGGACTCCCCTTCATCAGACCACCAGAACATGCAGGGCCAGGTCACTGGCTACCCCTGTACAGGTGGAAACTCCTTCCATAACCAGCCACCCTGCCTGTCCCCAGCCACCCTCTTAACCCAGAAGAATTCCTGGAACAAGCACCTTGACCTCGTCACCATCAGAGCTGGCATGGACTCCTGGGTCAGGTGCCCTGACCTCTAATAGCACCCAGGCCAGCAGGCACGCCATCTAGGCCCTTAGCAGGCAGAGGGTGCCGGATTGTATAAATCATGTCATTTTCCAATGTGGCAGAAACCCTACCCACACCTCCCCCATCCGTGGAGCCCCCCGGATTTACTTCTACGTCAGTCCTGGTCCACAACAGAAGCAGCGGAGGAATCTGGATGTACTGAGATTCCTCCGTCGTTCGTGTTTCTCAGAACAGCATTGCCTGTTTTGCACTGGAAATGATTCTGGTTTCCATCAGCTGTCATGGCTTCCTGGGGCTCTCCATATCATCATGCACTCCATTGTAGATGCGCTTCATTCACTTGACTCTGTATTCTCCTGAATTGTGGGTCCACTAGCACTCTGCTCACAGACATCACCCGGAAGGCTCGACGTCAATGGGCAAGGAGTGGTGGGCACACTGCGCCTATCTCCTCCTGTCTATGCTCCATGGTCACATCCGACCTGCCTTACTGAACACAAGTTTCTAGGAAACATTAGCCAGATGTCAGGACAGAGGAGCACTAAACTGAGTGTGGGACCTTCTCAGTTTGGGCCCTATGTGATTGCAGGTATCGCAGGCCCATGAAGCTGGCCCTGGCAAAGTGGGTAGGGAGTGCTTCAGGCAAAAAACTTGCTTCAGATATGACAAAATACCCATTTATAAACTATCAAGGGCACATGCGGGAGGGGGGAGCGGGGAGGGAGGGGGAAAATGAGGACCTAATGTCGGTGGTTTAAATGGAGAGAAAATGTTTTGAGAAACGATGTACAAATGTGCTTTACACAATTGATGTGTGTATGGATTGGGATAACAGTTGTATGAGCCCCTAATAAAATGTTAAAAAAAAAAAAAAAAAACTTGCTTCAGACAATCTGTAGTTGGCGGAGAACATTTGCCCAAGGGGGTTGTGTTTTAAGACTAGAACAATTCACTCTGGAAGTGGGATCTACTGTCAATCCACTGCCCTGGAGAAAGACACTGTGCTGGAGTCACGCTGTGAGAACAGTGGCAGAGTGCCTTGTGGTGCAGTGATGCTGCTTGAATCCTAGAACAGGGACATCAGCAAGCATGGGAGACAAAAAGCTTACACATGATATTCCATAGACTCTGTTCCTAAAATCAGCTTCCCAAACTTGAACGTGTGTCAATATCACTGGGCTGGTATGTTGCAACTATGCTAGCCAGATTGCCCTCCAACCAACCCAAACCAAACCCATTGCCACCAATTCAATTCTGACTCAGTGACCCTATAGCCCAGAGTGGAACCACTCCATAGACTGTAACCTTAATAGAAGTAGTATGCCCTATCTTTCCCCTGGTGGGTTTGAATCATCACCCTTTCAGTTAGAAGCCAAGTTCTTCACCACTGTCCCAACAGAGATTGCCCTCCAAACCCACTAAATAAGATGTGCTAGGAATGACTCTAGACATTCCTCATTAAACCCAATGGTGAAAACGATGCCGAGTCTGAAATTTGCTGCCTTATGGGTTTGGGTGGTTGTGCTGTTACTACATGGAGAACAGTCTGTTTTAAACTCAATCTTTTAAATCTAGCAACATATATAATGATTGGAACAAAAGGACCAATGAAAGTCTTTAGGGTTTTATATATATATATGTTACAAAGTAGAATAAGCATCTCCATGTATCATGCAATTCTAATAATTAACAACTTGAATAATTAGGCAATCATGATTTATCTATACTCTTATTCTTTACGTGATTTATCTTTATCCTTATTCTTTTCGCCCTCCAATCTTATCTTGATTATTTTTTCAAGTTTTTCTTTTCCTTTATTGGTTTTTAAGTAATAAATCTTCATTTTTAGAATTAGCAGAGAACTCCTCAAGAAGGACAGAGTGGGAGGGCTTGCTTTACCTGATTTTAGCACATATTATACAGTCACAGTGGTCAAAACCACATGGTATTGGTATAATGACAGATACTCAAACCAATGGAAAGGAACTGAAAATCCAGAAATATAATCATCAGCATACAGACAACTGATCTTTGATAAGGGTCCCCAAAATATCAAATGGGAAGCAGATGCTCTCTTCACCAAGTGGTGCTGGAAAAAATGGATATCTACATGCAGAAAAATGAAGCAAGGCCCTTACCTAACTCCATGCACAAGAAGAAAGTCGTGGATCACAGACCTTGAGGGAAAACCCCCAACTATTAGGGCCATCAATGAGGGAATTGGGACCAACCTGAGAACTTTGGCACAGGGAATATATAGGCTATCAGAAAAAGGGAAGGACACAAATATAGATGGGTCACAAATTGACAAGTGGAATATATTGAAGATAAAACACCTGTGTACATCGAAAGAATTCACCAAGAGAGTGATAAGACAGCCCATGGACTGGGAAAACATCTTTAGCAATGACACATCAGACAAAGGTCTTATTACTAAAATCTACAACACTCTGCTAGCTTCCAAAAAGAAAAAAACCTATTTGCCCACTGAGGAAGTAGGCAAAAGGATCTGAACATTAGTTTCACAAGGGCAGAACTTCGAATGGCCAATAAACATATGAGAAAATGTTACCAATCATTAGCCATAAGAGAAATGCAAATTAAAACAACAATGAGATACCACCTAACACCCTCAAAGATAGCCCAATTCAAAAAATTAGAAAGCAACAAGTGTTGGATGGGCTGTGGTGAGATAGGAACTCTCATCCACTGCTGGTGGACCTGTAGGTATGTACAGCCACGATGGAAATCGATCTGGCGATATCTAAAATAGATGGAAATTGAGCTACCATACAACACAGCAATCCCCCTACTGGGCATATACCCAGAAGAGGCAAGAAACAAACCACGGCCAGACATCTGTGCTCCAATGTTCATCACAGCACACTTCACAGTTGTAATGAGTTGGAAACTCAGGGGCTTTCAAACTTGAGAATCATGAGATCGGGGAACATGGGGAGGTAGAGGATCAATGAAAGATTCCAAATCCAGGTTGCATTCCAGACCAGCAGAATGGCAATCTCTGTGTGTCCGAGGCAGCAGGGTTTCTTCAGGTCCCCGCTCCCACACCCAGCCGGGTAAATCTGCTGTGCAGACTAGTTTGGCAATCCCTGCTCTAGTTTCTTCTCAATCTACTGCGGAGCTGTTCAGGTTGCTGTCCCTCATAGGGAGACTCTTTACCTAGCTGGAACCAAGAAAACTAGCTGACCTTGTTTGCTGATTCTGAGATAGTTTTAGTTCCTAAAAATAGCATTTGATTGATGCAGTCCCCACCTCCCCCAACTCTTTAACAGCAGTAACTCTCAGTACACCACCACAGACTCCAAGGAAGGGTGTGGAAATCTTCGACAGTGGGACCAACATGCATCTCTCCTTTGTTTGCACATCACCATCCTAAGATAGTGTGTGTTTGTGTTTGGTGCCAAAGCAACAGGCATATGCGCTCACAAAGCGCTAAGCCACATGTGGAAAATGACATGTTATTTAGAACCTTCAGGAAAACAGGTATTAATAACCTATGGATCCCTGTAAAAACAAAGGTGATTAACCATAGTCCATGGTCTGTCCCCATACAGACTTGACCTGCAGGTTGCAGCCTCTCTTGGGGGCGCTCCCAGCCACCCTGTAGCGTTTGGCAAAGGTCTGCTGGAAAGACCTTCCCCTCCCTCTCAGGGAGGTGCTGGAAACAGGGGAGACGTGGCGGAGAGGTCTATGGCATGAAAGTAGTTTCTTTGGCTTTCTGGGTAACATGACTGCACATTCACTGCACATTCACTATAAATCACAAGTTCTCAGGGACCTGCACGAGGAGAAAGACCCGGAGCCAGAACAAACAGAAGTAGTGATGGATGATCTTTAACCCCTACATACCTGCTGGAACGTCTCACCTTCGGAAACATCTTGGGAGGCAGAAGTTCTTCATGCGAACGAACGTTGTAACTCAGGCAAGAGGCATCTGCGGAGAGACCCGGCCACTTCCCATCCCAGCCCTCTCAGTGCCCCGAACGCTGTCCCCTCTGGAAACCTTGGCTGGATGACCTGTGCCCGAGGACCCAGGACCAGAATTTGTGACGCTGAGGTTCTCTGTGGACAAAGCTTAAAACGTCCATGTTGTTTGGGTTCTTTACTAAATGCGAACACTAAGTTTTGTTTTGTTTTGTTTTGAACACCTAAGAAGCAAGTTGCAGAAAAGTACAGATTTTTAAAACGTTACTCTGATTTTTAGTTCTCCATCCTAATGGAGCAAACGAACCACGTGGATTAGGTGATATGTGTTAGACTTCTGTGAACACATCCTCCAGTAAGACTTGCTGTTGGGTGCTGTGCAGTCAGTCCCTGGCTCACAGCGACCCCGTGTACGTGAGAATAAGCCACTGCCAGGACTTGGGCCTACTTATGTTAGGAGTTCTAATAGGGGACCCTCCTTTGGTGCTTCAACTCTACTAATGAAAGCCTAGGGCGGTCTTTCTGAGCTAGGCTCCTTCTTCGGAAACCGAGCATAGGTTTTGTTGATGCAGAAAGAGGTGAGATTTTGTGGCTGTTTAAAGCCCTGTACCCAGGAGAAGAAAAAGTTCTGCTTATGACAGTAAACTCTTTATTTAGTATTTGAAACGCGGTGTACACTTAGGAATCTGTATAAACATTTAGTACAACTAAAACCCACAACTGGTCGGCAGGCTGTGCTTTCTTCTGTGTTCCACTCTGGAGCGCACATCTGGATACATTGGTGTGATGGAGACCCAGTCTGTGATTCTAGTCCAACCAAGGGCCTCAGGTTCCTATCGAGACGGTGACCGAAGTGTTGGGGTCCTTCGAAGGGATGCTCCCTGCCCAGAAGAGGCATCATACTTTGGGGCTATGAAACCAGGTCTTGGAGGAAACGAGAGAAACACGGCTGACACGACGAAAAAGATTACATGAAGGCGGCTCCTAATGATGCACACGGACGCACGTTGCACAGGACAGGTCATGCGGCGACACCTAGAGTGAGTGTTTCTTGCCGGAACGGTTGGGTGGCGATGTACCGCATCCCCTCCCCCCACTGGCCGGTCTCATGAGCAAGCGTTTTCACCCTCCTCGGGTACGCTTCTCAGGGCACCCTGACAGGTGTCACAGCTGTAGCTCCGAGGTGCCGACGAGACCCAGGGCTCTGGCCTCTTCTGCAGTCAGGCCGCTCTTCAGGGTCCTTCGCACTGCAGTGTTCCCCACAGCACAGAGGGAAAGGAAGCAGAAAGAGAAGAAGACATTACCAGTGAGGTGGGTGACAGTCACTACGCCAATCCACCCCCGGCCCCTTCCCAGGGGCGCCCAGGGAATCAGCGAGGGTCAGAGAGGCACCACACTGTCCTCCTGACGGAGAGCCCTGGTGGGTGGGGCAGCAGCAGTCTACCTGCCAGGACAAGACACACCTTGAGGGGCAATGGGCTGACCCAAAGATGCCAAGGCCTCTGGTGTGGAGAGCCTAGAGGAAGAGGAGCTCAGAAAGGGGCGAAGGGAGGAGAGGTCCACGCCCCCAGAGTGTCTAAGAAATGGGAACACACAGCATCTGGTCGGAGAAGAGCCAGAGCTGGGACAGTCACCGTAGAGAAGGGGAAACTGAGTCCCAGGGATGTACATTAGGTGAGATCACCAGGGCACAGTGAGGGTTCAGCAGCAGCAAACCACCCTGCAAAGCTGCAGGATCGGTACCAAGGTTGGGACAGAGCCCAGAGCCGCTGGTCCCACCGCGGCAGGTCTTGATAGGACCCAGGGCAAGGAAGGGCAGCAGTCGGAGCCGTTTCCCCATCCCCACGAGCGAGCGCGGTAGGTCTTCATCTGAACGGGCCTCCAGTGACTCCTTGTGGACGAGAAGCCAAGGAGAACACTGCCAGCTTCCTACAGGGAGATGCGGAGGTTGCTCTCTGCAGCAAAACACACTCGGCTCAAAAGCTGGGCCTCTGACCCCGTTCAGCGACGGCTACAGTGGACAGGTGGAGGCGCGCTCAGAGTCCAGCAACTTGGAACCAGCCTCGTGTTTAGTTTGGCGCGATGACTCCCCTCCCATTGTTGAGCGTTGAGCAGTTTCAACATCGAAAAGAAAGGCTGGATCAGGGTGAAAGAGGAGACGTTATCCCTTCCAAGAAAAGTCCTTTCATTTGAAAGGGCATCTAATTACAGGGCTCTGAACGCACACATGGTGTGTCGTCTGTTCTATGTCTCCTTAAAGGTCATTCAGAGTTGAGGGCATCTGCTCTGTTTTCAGAAGATGGGCGCTCTGGAGCCCCCTTCCTCGTTACATCTTAAATCTGCCAGAGTCCGTGAGGTGACAAGGACAGGCTCCAGACCAGCGTGTAGAGAGAGGAATAGAAAGCTTACCCTCAGGGTCTTCCCATCTGCCCTGCCCAGACGCAGCTCTGCTCCTCCCCTCGGTGAGCAGGGGACACGGGTGGGTCTCCTAGGCTTCCCAGGAGGTCAAGGGACCACCCAGTGAACCTCTGCAGGCAACACTCCTCCTTCTACCACGCTTCATCATCCCTGGGACAGCAGCTCACGTAGGCTGCAAAGGACCAGGTAGACCAGGACCACAGCAGATTCAACAGCTCGGAGTTGCTATTAATATGCAACATCTTCTCTCCCAGGGCTCAGGATTATTTATGATGAACCTACTGTGTGCTCAGCATTTAACTCCTAGAACTGAAGATCTGACAGAAGGCATTAAGCATGGGGATTTTTTGTTTGTTTTGTTTTATAGACACACAAGGATCTGTGGTGAGGAGGGCCCCAATCAAGCCGCACATACTACTGTATTCCCAAACCCAGCTTTGGGCCGAAGAACCTTCCATCTGCAGCTGCTCATGAGCTTGCTCACTGCCTCCCCTGTGGGCTCTGGATTGAGTGTCTAACTCATCCAGACAAAATGTTTGGCTCCCAAGCCTTGGCTGGAGGCAGATGACATTGAACTGAGTAATGGAATTTGTTCTATGAGGCAGCAATAAAAATACTAGTTTGTAATAACCTCTTCTGTTCTTTAAACAACTCCATAAAGTGTTTGCTAGAGAAAGAAAACCATTCTAATGGCATGACAGAAGATAGAATGCCTGCCATTCTTGAGTAGAAAGGCCCGCTAAGCCCTCTAAACCAAGAGACAAAATACTGCGTGCAAAAGTTCGGGCTGTACCAGCTGGGCATCACAAGTTGCATTAGCTCACCCACATGGGGGCATGAACCCTGTCTAGGAGCACAATCTTTGTATGTCTCAGGAGCTGGCCCGGCCCAGATGACAGACACAGACTCCACAGATGGTGGCCCACTCAGGCATCGGAAGACGTGGCTTTAGCACCTTAGCCCTGCGCCTGTAGTATTCATTTCATTTAAAGAACTGACTGTGGCCGCCACCACCTGAAGCACATGCAATCGTCTACCTAGAAGAGGGGGGCAGTGGGCCGGCCTGTCTGGGACAACCTCCAAGAACAGAACAAAGCTGAGTGGTGCCCACCCCGGCCTCGCCCCCTGACTGCACACATAGCCCCCACCCCCTCCCGCCCTTGTCCTCCTGGGTCATCCGCCTCTGTTTTGAGGCTGCAGACCAGAGAGCCTCCTCCCCCGCTGGGCCAGGGTCTCTGCTGGGGGGAGAGGCTGGTGCAGGCACCATTTCCTCTTGTCAGACGCGTCCCTGCAAAGGTGGCTCTTCGTACAAGACCTGGCCCTGTCGATGGGAACGGATTCTCGGTGGGGCTTCATGACCAGGTAGAGAAGTTCTCTTAGACATATACTCACCTCTTAGGGCCAAGAAATTCAGTCAACTCCTTCCTTCTGCGAAGGAGCCAGAGTCAATTCGCTTTACTACTTGAAAGGCTGTGGGAAGTGAGGCTGTGTCCCAGGTCACATGTGAGGCCAGCAGCAATACTGAGCACCCGCCCTGAGCTCAGGGTTGGGATTAGTGCCTTAGTGTCACCAGATGGACTAAGAAGGTGGGGGTGAGGGTGGGGGTTGGGTGGGGTGGGGCAGTGACACAGTTTGAGGGAAAATGCCCAGGGTAGCAGATCGTGTCTGGACAGGGATTCCTACTCTCAGGAAGTTTCTAGAAAGCAAAAAGGAGGTTGGGGAAATAAGAGAAAGAGGGGAGTACAAACAGGTTGGTGGGAGATGGAAGTACAGACCGCATTTCCACAGTGAAACTTCCACAGTGCAAACGAGTCTTCCCCCAAGTGCAGGATCTTCCCGAGTGTTGGGGGTGCTGGTGGGGGCTGGACGGAGGTCTGATAATAGCATAGTTACATCCTTTGCACGCCCCATTTCTGCTTCCTGCTTGAATGTTGTCTCCTAGCTGCTCTCCACCCTTCTCCCTGACCCCCAAGACTTCTCCCGCCTGCCCCAGGGGTCCGTCCCCTCACAGCACGGGTCACTCTGCTGGTGCCAGGGGATGCGCTGTGCCCTAGCCACTGTGACAGCTTCAGTCTCAGCCGGGGTGGGGAGTGGGGAGTAGGAGGGGGTTGACACTGGGCATCTCTGCTGTCATCCTGCAGACTCAGGGACAGCCATGCATATTCTCTCTCTCTCTCTTCCCTCCCTCTCTCCCTGCCTGCCACACCCACCCCTCATTCTATGACCTCAGAACTGAACTTAACAATAAATCTTGTGAAGCACCCTGGGGTCACTCTCTGTATGCCTGCATTATTTTCTCCAGTCTGCCAGGAGACCCTGTGAGATGGGCTTCCTGTCACCTCGCTGTGGAGAGTGAGCGCATCAAACCAGAGAGTTGACGTCAATGGCACACAGCAAGTGCTTTGGGGGGAGAGCTTGTGCCCAGGTAATGCCAGGCTGGCCGCTTGTGGGCAACCTTTCCTATTGAGTGCATCAGCAGAGCTTTCCTGCCAAGGGCCAGCAGCCCGTCTGTGCGCTCACCTCTGGATCATCAATGTTTAATGTCACTTGAAAATAATTTTTTTTCACCTCTCAGATTTTAGATATTGCATGGGGCGGTGGTGTACTGGTTATGTGTTGGGCTGCTAACCTCAACTCCATGGGAAAAGACAAGGCTCTCTACTCCCATCAAGAGTTACAGTCTTGGAAACCCACAAGAGCAGTTCTACCTTGTCCTAGGGGGTCACCAAGAGTCAGAATTGACCTGACGGCGGTGTGTGTGTGTGTGTAAGAGAGAGAGAGTGAAAGAGAGAAAGACAGAGAGAGAGAGATAGAGAGAGAGAATAGTACCCCGAGGATTATGGGGACTAATTTCAGAACTTGAAAGTGACTTCAATGCAGGGTCATACGTTAAGAGGCAGTAAGCTCTGCTGGTGTTGAAAACGGTCCATTTACACTTGCCCTGTTCTTTGTGGAACCTGACTACTGAGTGGAACCAACCTGGCTGGGCCAGTTAGGTCCCCCTTTTGGACTTCAATGTGGGGAATTGTGTTAAGATCTGTAGTTTTCAAGGATTTGAGGCTGGATTCTGCTTTTTGCTTGGTTGTCTGGTAAGGACAGTTATTTAACCATCTGCACTACTTTTCTTGTATTTCCCCCCACATTTATCCCCCCCCAAATCCTGTCCATTAAAAACAGAGGCTCCCCCAAATTGATGGATGCTCTACAAAACAATTGGGAAGTGCTTCTAAAAACGCCAAGGTCCTGAAATGTTAACTTTACAGTTTTGAAAAATTATACTGTGCTTATTCAAGGTGCTAACATCAGGGAGAGCTGGTTGAGAGACACAAGGCAACTCTTACTCTTGAAACTTTTCCATTCAGTCGAAAATTTCGAGGTGGCTGATGGCAGAAAAGGGTCACTGGGTGGGGCTCTTGTGTGACTGCAACCTGGGTACTCATTCCTGCCACCATTGGGTAGTCTTGGGCAAGAGATGAGCCCGGAAGAGAGGAAGGGTGGTAGGAACGGGACACTTGACCACCTAAGGTACCTGCCACGGGTCTCTCTACGAACCCTCAGGACCACCTGATGGGGCAGCCATGACTGCTCTGCTTGTATCCAAGAAGACCGAGGTGGGTGAGACCACGGGATTAGAATGGGACTAGTCTCCATCTCTCTTGTACGGATGGTACATTCCTGGACGTAGAAACGAATGTGCAGCATTAGCACTCTGGAGCAAAGACAGCAAGACCCTCTCAGTGCCTGCGGAGAAGATCCTTTGCTCTTTCCAAGCTGCCCCTGGAGGGACCTCTGCCTCAGTCTCAGACAGCTCTGGGAGACAAGAAGGACT